ACACATGATTGCAATATTTACTATAAACCAATCCTTAATCCTGCTTTCGTACTTGAGTATAATAGTAAACATTGCCAATATTTATATCGAGTTATATTTAACATATTGACTGTTGAAATTTTCAATTAATAATATCTATTGACCTATTTTGTATTAGTGTCTGTAGTGTTAAGTTGTATAAATGTTTGTGGTGTCAAGACTTAACTCTGGCAAAGTGTCAACATACCCACCTGGGTTGTATTTACCACTAGTACCCTTGACAACTCTAAGAGCCTAATTTTGAACACATTGTGCTCCATACATACTGTAGAAAAGAAGCAAATTATGGAACTAGAAAAAAAATCATTAGTTTCCTTTTTTTATAATTACATACTGATATTCATAACGTATTAAATTAAGTTATTAATTCATCTTATATATTTAAATATAAGAGACTATTACATATTTAAATGTTTTTTAAAAGGCACAAAATTAACAAATAATTGTATAACACCTCTGCAATACGTAAACTGAAACTCCGAAAACTACTATTGCATAAGATCATTAATTCGGAGCGAAAAAAAACGTATTTGTACGTTGCATCACCAGACTATTAGGATTAGAACACACTTGTATGTATACGGAGTGAAATTCTGTGAGAAGATTGAATCGAATTTGGGCCACCAATAAATTGATTACACAATCCAGGCCAAGCAATTCAGAGGAGATGAGTAGAAACATTTATTATATAATCGCACGTATTAATAAATAAAACGTGATATCTTTATTAATTGTACATTTACTTAAAGTGGTAAAAAAATATAACTAAAACACAATTTTCTAACCACAATTGTTTTTTTTTTGTTTGAGAAATTTAATATATTTTTAATATATCTTTACTAAGAAAATAAGAATTCAGACGTGTATAACATAGTCGTTATTTCAAAGTTGAGAAATTTGTAAAGACGAGTTTAGCTCAAATATTTTTATGTTATACGTATTTATAGTTTAATTATAAAAATGTAATTAATTATTTAGAAAAATTAGAATTAAAAATTGAGACCATTTGCATTTTTAAATATTACAGGAATCAAACAAATAAATTAGCTTTTTTTAAAATCATTCTGCATACAAAAGTACCAACTATTAAAATTGTATTAAGTTTTTCGATGAATTCTCGAAAATACCAATGCGTTATATTGTTTATTCGTTGCTCCCCTAATCTAGTAGCATATCCGCTTCCGGCTGAACAACTGCCGCACGGATTTTATTTATTTCAGCTGTAATTTCTTTCGATTCTGGTCCGATTACCGTGTCGAGTTTTGGCATTGTGTTGCGTAATTAATATGCAAAACACGCGTTCCTAGGATCAATTATGTCGTCCGGGATGCATCCGATACATATTTCATAAGTGATTCGGCGCAAGCCTTTACTAATTGCTAAAGATACCACAAAATCGCGGTAATGCAGCGACATTAGGTGGTCCGTCTACCAAAAAGGGTTTATTAGGGCTGTGGAGGGCCCTTATCGAGCCAGTCATTCTCCCCATTCGCGTGCGTTGCTTTTACGTTACCTCCCCTTTCGCAAAACTTAACACCCCAACAGCAGGAAAACCTGAATTTGCACAGCAGCGACAGATGATGGGTGGCTTTTTTCACGCAGACACAAAAGGACCAACGGCATTTGCATGTACGCATTACTTCTTTTTTTAAGAATAATTTCTTTGCTCGGATGTTGCGAAATGAGACACGTGAAAACACAATAGGTCCCTCCAGTCTATATAGTATTGATTTTAATCCACTGAATACTGAGCTTGGTCTGTTACCTTGCCAACAGCCGCCAGTAGCAGGCATTTCGCTGGTCCTTTTTCATTATCCATAATACATGTTTGCTGTTATATAACTTTTTTTTAAACTCGCATTCAGCAGTCTCGTTACGTCCAGCTTTTACGCACTGAGTTGTATCAACTCATTTACATTCAAACTAATTATTTCAAAAAGAAAAAAGAACCGTAAACGCGTTTTATGTTCCATCATAAATTATAACTTAATATGTTGAAACACACGTGAAAAAAAAAACAACAAGGGTTCAAAATATATAAAAGACCTTACACGTTTAAGACATTAAGTCAAAACATTGTGACTGTTTTCAGTAAAAAAAAGAGTCCTTAATGATTCGTCTTTTCAGAAATCCAATTATTACAAACATACTAATTTCATGAAACACGTAGAGTGAAATTCGAGAATCACGCGTGGAAAACAATGACCCCCCATTGATTTTCCAATATTTACAAGCAATCGAGTAACGTTCAGCGTAAAAATAAAATCCTGTGGTAAATTTTGTTACAAAATAGCATTTAGCTACTCGTATTATTAGAATATTCGCAATCGTATTTCACATACAAATTTTGTTTCATTCCCTTCAATTAATCTAAAGTCAATAAAACACACATTAATACTTTGTAAAAATATAAAATATCTCGTGTATGAAATTTGATTGTACAAGACATTTTCGCGCTTAATTAGGTTTTCTTATATACATGAGAGTGTAATTTACTTAAGAAAAGCATATATATATTGAATAATTTAAATATCTTTCATACATATTTACTTTTATAATCTTAGTGTTGGCTGAGGTGGTGACATATCCTGATTGATGTAAATTATCAGTAGACTACAAAGGTGAACCACATTTTTCGTTCTCCTTGGTAATCGGAAAGATGATAGGTATGGGAAAATAAGAGTAAAAATGAATGTAAATAAATGGCAGTTGCGTTTGAAACAGCTGATTATATTGATCGCTGGGGGAAGTTTAGGATTGAAGGGCGCAATATTAGCTCCCTCGCCATTTAGACAACAGGCGAGAGCCCTCCCAGGCGTCCGATCATATCGTGCAAAATCGACCCAATTACCTACACATATCAATTAGAGCTTTCGAGCACTTTCGATCACGAAAACCTTTCAGTCACGTCAGAAGGAGATCCTTACTCGAAATAATAATCACATAAGAATTCCCAACGTTTTCCCAAATCACTCAAGGAAGGGAGAAACGTAATCCTGGCGTTCATTAAAAGTTCTAAAATAAGAATGCAATTAAAATTTTAATTTAAGATTCCTACCATTAACGTCCGCAGAAAGACATACTGCTGATAATTCCGCAGCACGGTAAAGGAAGGATGAGTTATCGTGAAAATTTTCATTCAGGTTTTTCCACTATCGTTGAAAGAGATAACGCTTTTCCCCGCTACATTCGCCTTCGCTTCGAAGAGGAATTAAATGAAAACATTTCTTCAATTTACTTGTGTCAAGACTCTTATTAGGCTTTTCCGCGGTGCGGTTTACATTAAAAACAAAGCCAGGCACGGCTCCATTTACACTTAACAAGCACATATTTCTACATACGCAAGGAAATTAAACCTTGGTAATGTTTCATGAAATGTGTACGTAATGCAAACTTAACTATACCATAAAATATTATTAACTTAGTCAAGCAACCACATTTATTTAATTAATCTAGTTTAATAGTCAACTTTTATTCATTTATTTAAACATAATATAACTCTTGTGTGTTTTCAAATCGAAAAAATAATGTAACTGTCAACCAAGTACAATCAAAAACACACGTTGCGATTCTTCGAAGAGTTTTAAGAATTCTAGGTATCACAGGAATTATGTAAATAACAATTCGATAATGATCTACATGTAAATAGAAATTTCATCAGCTTGCTGTACATTTCTTTTGTAAATGTGGTTCCTGTACCTTCCGGTTTACCTCCCCTCAAAAACATTAATTTGAATACATCGGGAACGATTCCCTCTGAAGAACGGTTTGAAGAATGAAAAAAAACAATGAATTCTCACGAAACATAAAAGAGCCAAAAAGAACTTTCCTTTATCCCATTTCGCCTTATTCTTTGCCAAATGTACGTATAATAACGATAATAAGTAGGATATTATACTCCATGTTAGGAAACTGAATGGGATTGTGAAAAAGACAACAAAGAATCATTAACAATATGGTATTTTTTCTAACTCACTCTGCAATTAAATAATACTTATCTGAAAACGTTTTAAAAGTAATTGCCAGAATATATGTGTCATACATAGTTTATTTATTTTTTGATATTGTATAAAAGTAAATAAAATCATTAATCATTAAGCCTTTTCAAAGAAAACTGATTCAACATTTTAGCAAATTTTGTTAGATCATTGATATTGTATAATTTATGATAAACGTCATTTAACATGGAAAACTCTTAACAAATACAGTCAAGTATTTTATAAAAAATATATAAGATTAAAGAAATCTTCATGGCATCTTTATTATAATACTTTTACGCACATACTGTTTTATAATGAATGCTTTAAACCTTGACCGATACTTACATATTTTTTTTAGAAGTTCTTGAATATGAAGCGTAATTTACAAAAGTTCATAGTCTAAAGTTATTTAAAACCATGATAACAGTGATGTAAATGCATTTACCATACCTTTGTAGTTCTAAGCACACTACGAACTTATCTATTTAAATACTAGACATTTTTTATTGGTGATGTTTTTGTTCAATACTCTATATACATGAAAATGAACTTCTCATAGCAATTTCAATAAGACATTTTTTTTGTTTCAAAACAAATCCAATGTACGTTTTTCTTTTCTCAGTTTCCAATCGGAATTAATGAACCAATTAGATTATTAACAAGTAACCTTTGAAGAAACAAAGGAAAAAAACATTAGTAACATAACACAAATAAAAGAAAATAAACGATAACCGGTTCCGTGGTGGATTACATAAAACATTATACTCGTAAAAGGTTGATTAACACGATGCGTGCAATTCTGCATATGAAAACTATGCAATTATCGATTTTTCGAAAGATTGTTATATGTTTATGTAAAGCTCATGGGGGAACTGTACAAGTATTACCACCCAGGAAGCGGGAGTTATGGGAGAGAAGGGTCTCTTTCTCTGCCCTCGAAACAATCATCCGAAATATGATGATGGGATTGCGAACACTCACCTTCATGTCTTGTATGATCTGCTGGAAGAGCCCTCCGAGGGCCCCGGTTTCTCGTTCCATCGGTACCTCCATGTCTTCTTCTCGCCTCTTCAATCTTCACCGCAGTATGGATCTATTTACCTTATGAATTATACTCGAAATGCACTTGTATTGCAATGTTTCATATTAATTCCATGAACACTGTTGAACACACGAATTCCGGACTATCTGCAGAGCGGAAGCAAGCGGTACAGTTAATCTCTTCCGTACACTCATTCACGTTGTTATTAACATGATCAGGGACAATTCGCGCCGAAGATAATCTAAACAAACGACAACCATTACAGTTACAACTGCAGCAACTCTACAAACCGTCCGCAACCAACACACTCGATAACATGAATGAGACTTCCCCCCTACTAGAAGACATCACACAAACATCGATACCATCCACAGTGCTCTCTCTTAACCAAAAGCCCAACTCAAGATTCTTGTACCTATTTTCAATCATTAACCAATTACATATTACAAATTAAGTATACTCATTTAATATAAAAAATAATCATTCAACAATAACCATTTACCAAAATGAAAATAATTAACAAAAATATAAAATTCCAATAATTTTTTTTTTTAAATTTGGCTATGCTTTCAATCCGTCAGTCCGCATGGTAAATATAACCAAGAATTTGTGGCATGTTTTCATACAGTTTGTTATTCATTGTTAGTGTTTAAATAGTGAAAATAAGTTACTAGAAAATGGGTGAAGACATCCCAATCGAAGAGAAGAAAAAGTCGCACAGGGAGAAAAAATCAGGTAATTAAACAAACAGTTAATAATCTAATATTTTTACTTAAAAATGAATGGATTTTAAGGTAAAAAGGCTGAAAGGAAGAAAGCCAAGAAAGATGCCCAGAATCCAAATGTACAGGAGCTTACTGACAAGCAAAAGAACCCAAAAGCTTTTGCTATCAACAGTGCTATTAGGGCTGAGAGAAGGTTCCGCAGGAAACAGGATATTGATACAAAGAAGCAACATGTTCCTTTAGTAGACAGGACACCCTTAGAGCCTCCACCAATCTTGATTGCAGTGGTTGGACCACCTAAGGTGGGTAAAACCACATTAATCAATAATTTAATTAAAATGTTTACGAAATCTCCATTGAGTGAGGTCAAAGGACCAGTGACTATTGTTACTGGCAAGAAGAGGAGAATCACTTTATTTGAATGCAACAATGACATAAATTCTATGATTGATTTGGCCAAAGTTGCAGATTTAGTTCTTTTGCTTTGTGATGCCAGCTTTGGTTTTGAAATGGAAATATTTGAATTTCTCAACATTTGCCAGGTGCATGGTATGCCTAAGATTATGGGTGTTTTAACTCATTTGGATATGATTAAAAATAGAAAGACTCTAAAAAACACTAAAAAGATTCTGAAACACAGATTCTGGACTGAATTGTATGCAGGAGCCAAATTGTTCTATCTATCTGGTATAGTACATGGAGATTATTTGAAGAATGAAATTAAAAATTTAGGCAGATTTATATCTGTTATGAAATTTAGACCATTGACATGGAGATCAACTCACAGTTATTTGGTTGGAGATCGTTATGAAGACTTAACCAATCAAGAAATGATTAGGAAGAATCCAAAATGCGATAGAAACGTTTCCTTATATGGTTATATTAGAGGAATTCCTTTGAGTAAAAACACCATGGTTCATATTGCTGGATTTGGTGATTTAAGAATTCACGAGATATCATTCTTGCCTGACCCATGCCCATTACCAGAACAAATCAAGAAAAGGGCTTTGATTGAAAAAGAAAAGTTTATCTATGCTCCATTTTCTGGAGTTGGAGGTATTGTTTATGACAAGGATGCTGTGTATGTAGAATTGGGTGGTTCTCACAGTCACAAGCAAAGAGATGAAGGAGATGAAACAAATATTGTTGCTAATTTAATAGAAACTAAAGAGACTTTGGACGTTAAAATGGAGCATTCCGAAATGCAACTGTTCACTGGTGGCAAAACTTTGATGTCCAAAGATATGGATGTTGATGAGAGTGAAGAAGAGGAGGATGAGCCTCAATTATATGAGAAAAATTCTAATAAAGAGGACGATGAATTGGAGGCAGAGTTAGCACAATTAAAAAGTAAGCAAATTTCGAATTATAAAGTAGAAAAAATAGAAGATTCTGGAAGAATTCGCCGAAAGGTTGTGTTCGAGGAATCCGATGATGTGCTAAATGAAAAATTAGCAATGAGTGAGGATGATGATGAAGACGAGGATAATGATGATGAAGAAGACCCAGAGGAAGATGATGAAAGTTCTGAAGATGAAAGTGTTGAAGAGTCTAAAATTAAACCAAAGACACAACCTGAGTACATTCAATTGAAAGAAAACAAAGACATTGGTATACATTCAAAAATTACTGATGTTTTAAAAAATCTAAATACCAAGAAAGTTAGTGAAAAAGTATCTGATTCTACAAAGAAAGTAGTAAAGTCTAAAAAGGAAGAGTCAGAATCAGATGATGATGACAGTTCAGATGATGAAAGAAATTTAAGTAAAATAAAAGCAATGAAAATTGATAAATTTGAGGAAGTGGAATTTGATGATGAAAGTGATAATGAAGACGAAGAAGATGGTGATGATGAAAATGATGATGAAGATGATGAAAGTGATGATGAAGATAGTAGAAAGGACAATAATAGTAAAAATGAAGATCAAGCAAGTGAATCTGAGAGTGATGATGGTGAAGTTGATTTGGGTTTGAAATGGAAGGATAATTTAGCTAAGAAAGCAGAGGACGCTTTTTTTGAAAGGCAAAAGTCATCTAAAAATTTAATGAAACTTGTTTATGGTAAGTGTTTGCTTTTAATATAATGTTTTTTTTTCTAATAATTTTCTTATAGGGGTATTTGATAATAAATACTTAAAACCTCAAGATGAAGAAATTGAAGAAGATTCAGGTGATGACGAGGATAATATTGGTGGACTCTTCAAAAAGATTTCAGTTGAGCAACAAAAGCTAAAAATGGAAAAGGATAAAATGGATTTGATTGAATCTACTTTATTCATGCCATGGAATAGTAATATTAGGAATTGGATTGATCCAGAGGTAAATTTAAAAATATTTTTTAAATTTTAGTAATACAATTTTAATTATTTTTAGAACAAACTCCTGATAACAAACAGATTTGTTACTGGCAAGTGGAAAGAGTCTGAGGATGCAAATGAATTACTCAAATTAGACGATGCCGAAGATTTGAGTGATATAGGATCTGACGTATACGGAGATTTCGAAGACTTGGAAACTGGAGAAAAGTTTACTGCTAAAACCCCCGAGGCTGAAAATGGCGATGGCAAAGGTGAAAAGCGTAAACGGGATTTAAACGACAAGGATGATATGGCGGATAGAGTGAAATTGGCGGAGAAAAAGAAAACTTTAAAAGAGAAATTCGACGCTGATTACGATAAAACTGAGAAGAGCACTTTCTATGAAGAGTTGAAATCGTCCGCAGAGAAACAAGCTGAAATAAATAGATCAGTTTTCGAGAATATGCCTGATGAGATGAGAGTCCAATTGGAGGGCTTCAGAGCTGGAATGTATTGTCGTTTAGAATTCCAAGACGTACCTTGCGAATTTATAAATAATTTTGATCCTACTTACCCATTGGTAATAGGAGCTTTAAATATGGTGGAAGAAAACATTGGGTTTGTTAATGTTAAGGTTAAAAAGCATAGGTGGTATAAGAAAATTCTGAAGTCAAACGATCCATTAATTGTTTCGCTTGGTTGGAGACGCTTCCAAACGATGCCGTTGTATTCCAAATTGGAAGATGATATGAAGTTTAGGTATCTTAAGTATACTCCAGAGCACGTCACTTGTAATGCCCACTTTTGGGGACCTATTACTCCTCAGGGTACTGGTTTTATAGCTTTGCAAACGTGCGATGGTAGTGCAGAGGTAAGTTGACTCGAAATCAAATTAATTTCCTTACTTATGTACGTTTATAATCTCAGGTTATAAAGCATCAAGGCTTTAGAATCGCAGCCACCGGTGTTGTTCAAGAGTTGGATAAATCCACGCAAATCATGAAAAAATTAAAACTAATCGGTTATCCAATGAAAATCTACAAGAAAACGGCGTTTATCAAAGGGATGTTTAACAGTTCGTTAGAAGTCGCTAAATTCGAAGGTGCGAGGATAAAAACCGTATCTGGTATTAGAGGGCAAATCAAGAAAGCTGCATCTAAACCTGAAGGTGTATTCAGAGCGAGTTTCGAAGACAAAATTAAAGCTAGTGGTAAGATCTTACTTCATAAAATATTTAAGTATTCTTATTAAAATTATATATTTTTTACAGATATTATATTCTGTAGAACTTGGTACAAAGTCGATGTGAAAAACTTCTATACTCCAGTTAATACGTTACTATTACCTGCTGAGCAGAAGAACTCGTGGCGTGGATTGAGAACCACTGGCGAAATAAAGAGATCGAAGGGAATTCAATCTCAACCTGCCTTGGACAGTTTGTACACTGTAAGTAGAAAATCTATTTTGTGATCAATTCATATATTAATAAGAATGTATTTCAGGAAATCGAGAGGACTGTTAAACCGTTCAAACCATTGATTATACCGGGCAGGTTACAAAAGGCCTTACCCTACAAGGATAAGCCTAAACACAGTGTCAAGGATTCCGACAAGAAGAAGCAAATTAGCCGTGTTGCTGTTATACGCGAACCGGAGGAACAGAAGGTCGCAAACATGATGAAGATGTTGAAGGCTTCGTTCGAGTTCAAACAGGGTCAACTTAAAACGCAAACGAAAGAAAGGCTCGCCAAGTACAAGAAAACGATCGAAGACATCGAGCAGAGGAAATCCAAGAAACTCGGGGAAATTAAGAAAGATGTGTTTAGGAAGAGAAGCAAAGCTGAACTCAAAGCTCAAAAGAAAGCAAATAAGAAATAGAGCATGTAAAATATGTTACACTCTTGTTACAATTAATTATGCAATTATGTTGCGTATTTCAACAATAAAGAATTATTTAATAAATATATAATTTTTACAACTTTAGTTATTAATGTACACAATAAATAGAAATAAGTAAACTTTGAGAAAATCAACCCGTTCAATTACTTATTTCTTGTTATTTTTGTTTTAAATAATAAATAGTAATTTTGGCAGTTTTAGTTAGATATAAAATTGCAAAATAGTGTTCTAATCAAAAACAAATTCAATCAATTAACGAGCAGAGAAAGTTCTCAGCTTATTAACTTAGAGATCATCTACACTTGATTAAGAAACGAATTAATGTCGAATTTGCAAGTATAAAATACTTATTGTCAACATAGAAAATATATCTCAAAACTTATCTAAAAGTGATAATTGTACTACCTATTGACATAGTGGATTGTATATGATACAAAGCTTTATCGATGTCTTGTGGTGTGAATACTTTATCAATTAATGGTTTGATGACGCCCAAATCTACAAATTCGTTAAGCTTATCCAGCGATTCGTGGCACATATGGATTTCCCCGAAGTCGTAAATTTCGCAACCTCGGTATTTCTAAAAAAAACGCTTATTAAAGCAATTCTGTTAATAACAATTGTGTTTTCATTAACCTGTACGAAACATTTAATGTGGATGTAGGCCTTTAGCAATGATTTTAGTACAAATCCGTACGAATCGGACGTCAATTCGCTGTTTAAAGTTGAAACCAAATAATCGCAGTACTGCTTGAACTCCAAATTGCTAACTCCGCAATTTCGTGTATTAATTATCACGTCGAATCTATCTCTCAATTCGAGTTCCTTTATCAAACTATTCGAGGATATTTCGGGCAGTTGAATATTAACTGCAGCTTTCGTTTTTATTTCGGATTCCTCAAGAATGATCACGTCGTCTGCTCCCAAGGCTTTCGCAACAGGCAACGATCGTATGAAGCATGTGGTGGTTACATTTGCACCCCAATACTTTAAAATTTGTATAAGTACACAACCGACTGGAGTGCAACCGCCTTGCACGAATATTCTAAAAAAAATAGTTTAACTTATGCAACACGATTTTTACAATAGTTACTTTTTGTCCGCACAATTGTCTTCACTTAAATTGGCTTGTTCCAGAGCTGCCAGAGCCAAACTACCGGAATACGGAAAACTGCAGGCTTTCTCGAATCCCAGCGATGTGGGTTTCTTGGCTACTTGATGTTCATGAGCATACACCATGTGGGATAAAGCTCCAGGGGCCCAGAATGGTGCTGTTAACCATACTTCATCGCCTATATCAAATCTCTTAACATTTTGCCCGATTTCAGTTACAATGCCCACGCAATCTCTTCCTAGTGTCACCGGTAAGCCATGATTGGAATACTGATAATGTTTCGATAATAAAGATCTCAGAGTCTTGCCGTATCCCCTGCAAATGTCTGCATCTACGATTTGCACAGATCCAGCTTTGACAACGACGAGGACTTCATTGAGATCGCAAGAATTTTTCGTGATCGCATCTTCGACATATGTGGCTCCCTAAAAATGACCGAATTAATGAAAATCATTAAAAAAATCGTCAATATAGTACTTCTATTCCTATGTAATTTGTACATTGCACAGCTGGTGTATATCTAGAAACAGTATGTTTTTGTAATCCGATCCCAATTCCAACGCCGATGATTCCACCAATTATTAATCCAGCGCAACCAAAATAAATTTCTCTTGAAGTCCCTTAAACAAATATATAAAACTTACGTTGAGCATACTTAAAGATTAAGTACTAAAACCTGTTAATCCAATTAACCCGCCGACTTAATAAATTTTAATTAACTACGCACTAACGTATTTAAAAAAAGGTAGACGTTACTACTTACAGTTTCCACCAAATACTCTTTGCAAGTTATAAAATATCTTTCTAGGGTTCACGTGGAATAAAATTGTGCATTTAAGTTCATCAGCAACATTTACAATATAATACCAAACATGTTTCAGGGAATCTTGGATTTGTACAGACTTTGGACTATTCAGTGAATTAATGATTACATTTTTAGTTTGATTTGAATACTGAATAACTGCTTTCTTTCCTTCTGTTGCAGCTATGCCTAGCTGATACTAAAAACAAAATAAGCCAATAGATGATATTTATTTTATACATACAAAAAAACATATAGAAATAGCTAGATTATGAAAAACATTTCTATATACATCTAATAAATTTATACAAAGAATGTTTTTTTAAATCGAATTTGTTTAATTTGTTAATATGGTTGCATAACGGTATGTATGCATTTGATAATAAAATTAAAAAAAGTATAGGTTGAAGGTGCATTTAGATGTATTTCTATTAGAGGCTTATTAAAAACAACAACACATAATATGACTTTTGATTGTTGCAATGTTAGATATTTGTAGTAGAGTATTTATAGAATTATGTAATCATAAACAAGCCATACCTGCAGGCTTTCCAATTTCTGTGAACTTCGAAATAGCACCTCATCCATTATAAATATAAGTCATCAGGGGAGCATATTAAAAGAAAATAAAAAGAAAAAACTAAAAAGAAAGAAATTATCACATGGTAGAATAAAATACACAGGTTTTGAATCCAAAGGTCAATAACAATAGATCAGACATAGCTCATTATATATCTGGATGAATGATATGTCCCAAAGTACCCAAAAATGGTGCTAAAGACCATAATTAACTAACTTACATAAAATAAATGTTAAACAACTTTAATCATACTTATTTTAAGATTTGTAATGGGTCACTTTCGCTACAACAGGCAAATATTTTGCCTGAAGTTAGCAAACTACTTATGTGTCAATCTTAAAATAGTTAAAATTAACTGATCCTTGTTATCTACCAAACTATTGTTTTTTTAAATATAATATTTCATGTTAGGTAAAAATATGATTGTATATGAATATTCCGTTGTTCCTATAAGATCTTTCAGTTGGCGCTTTTGAACTACTTCAAAACTACGCTTTTGAACTACTTTTTGAATATTGATTATTTGAATTAAAATTTCGGCTTGCGCAATTTAGAGCTGGCTTTATTGATTGAAGTGCAATAAATTGCACTTAATTTGCATCATAATTGTAAAAACTACCATACGATTTGTAAGGTAATTTGAAAAATGCTTATTATATCATGATTAATTAAAATTCAATTTAATTTCAAATAAATACGATTAAGAGCGTTACTTTTAGATTGAAACATGAATATTCCAATTATAGACGATAATACTAAATTGGATGTAATTGAGAAAAGGGTGAACAGCGTTCCAAAAGAACATTTGGAAGCTCTCATCAATTTTGTAGATAAACACAGGATTCTATTGAGAAGACAATTTGCGGAAACTTCCAAAGTCAAACGCCTGTGGGTAGAATTTGCTAATGAAGTAAGCTCTAAGCATAGTCCATACAAAACATCTCAACAATGGAAACAGCTCTTCGCAGAGTGGAAAACTTGCACGAAAAAGAAGATCCGCATCAAGAAGGTTGGAAAGTACAGCGAGATGAGTATCATCAAAACTGTAAGCGATTTAGATAGAAGACTGCTGGATCTGATTATGCGTAGGAATGTGAAAGATCCGGCAGTGTACGACCTATTTGCTGATAATACAAATGAAAATGCATTAGGTACAATGATAGATGAAGTAAATTACTACATTATCACAAATAATTATTATTTTCAGAGGTTGAAACTGTGGATGTTGAAGGAGAACATGATGTTAGTGCATTCATACGGGAGGCTCGTCCGAGGGAGTCGCTAAGAAAAAGCGAGTTATTTCAGTATTTGCAACACAAATTGTCTAATATTTTGGAGCCGGATGCAAATACCGTGAGGGATGCAGACAACAGAGGTGCTATTTTGCAACTTAGCGATGCCATAATAAAATTCACTGAAATATATAAAGTAAGAACTGAGTTGGAGAAGGTCAGAGTGCACGCTGCTGTCATGAACGCCAAAGCCAACTATTACCAAACGTTTGGCACTTTGAATGGTTTTAATGAGGCTTAAGCCTCTTTACATAAATAAATTACAAGCCAAAGTTACGTGTCAAGAAGTATACAATTAAAGTTTGCTTACAAGAATATACAATTATTTAAAACTAGAATAGTAATATTTGATTAAAACATATATTATATAATTAGTCAGATTAGAAGCAAGTAATGATATTTTTAACATGTAATTATACATTTCTTATAAATGAAATCTATTTGAATAATTTAAATAAAAACAATTTACCCTCAATAACAAATTTTTGTGTAGAGTTTTACTTAATACTATAAAACATATTTATTTTATTATTAATTAGTTCTGAATTTAAGAACGCGAGAAAAGAATAAATAAATTTGTAATGAGAGGAACTTCATGTATTTTTTTTGCGCTTTTTAAAGTCGTATCGATATGCAACCATACATACGGTATTTACGAATAAGTTTGAGGTTAACATACAATTTCAAATAAATAGCAACAAATATCAAATTGCAATGGACTGTTTAATACCAGGAGCAAATATGCGAGGTAATTACATTTAAACATACTTCATATATAGTTACTACTATACATCAATTCCTAATATAATGACTACATTGTTTATTTATTTTTAACAATCTGTTATTTTTAGTGGTGAATAGAACCATTCAAGCATTAAGCAAAATATCTGATGAACTCTACATTGAAGGTGAAATAGATAATCTCTCCTTCGTGGCAATGAACATGAACAAAACTGCTTATGCAAAATATACATTTCACTCAATATTCTTCGTGAACTATAAAATTGAGGATGGCAGTGATGAAAAGATCACTTGCAAGATTCACATGAAATCATTGCTGAATGTTTTCAAAAACAAAATTGATAGGAAAGTTGAAATGTGCAGGATACTGTTTGATAAAGATGCCACACAAATATTATTCAAACTCAAGTACAAACAGGATATCATGGTTGTTCATAATCTGAAGTTAATTGATTTTGACTACTTGACTATTGATTACAATACAGAAGATGCTAAGAATAATATCACAGGGACAGGGGTTTTTTTCAATCAGATATTATCAAATTTTCAAACATCTGACAGCAGTTTAAGTTTGGAAGTTAATTCCAATAAGATTACTTTGAGGAATTACGATGTTGGAGTGTCCACTGTGTACAAAGGAATGCGATCCCAAATAGTCTTAACTGGAAACGAATTTGATAGTTATTCAATTGGCGAGGAAACCAATATTGTTTTATCGCTGAAGCCTTTCAGATCAGCAATTAGTTTCGGCGAATTCTTCAATATACCAATTATGTTACATTTTAAGAACGGCGGATGGTAATCACACAACTTTGTGCTTTGAATGGTTAATAAATATTATTGGTTTTAGGCCGATTATATTGCGAATGAAAAACACCACCTTCAATGTGGATTATATTTTGGCTACTGTTAATCCCGATGATTCTGAGTCACAATCGACAACAACCAGCGAAGTCTTGGATCCTGTACTGAGGTGTGTGCAGAATCGTAATAATGCGGAATGCGTTAATCTTTCCATGGAGGTGGATTCCTCAGAGAAGGATTTAACGTTGGCCGATAAAGAAGCCATGGAAAGTGTTAATTGGGATGACAACGATTTTGACAACGATGTTACCATGAGTCCTCCTATAACCAAAAGGAATGTCGAGAAAGAGAAGATGGCGAATATTTTCGGACGGTGTTTTGATCCGACATTTCATACTTCCATGTTAGATTTTGGCGAAGAACTGGCTCCTAATAGTGATTCAGATTAAAATCGGAACAAATAATAGAGTTTTAACAAAATACAGATGATCAGAATCTCAAATGAACAAACATACTTTTTGTAAGATTTAAAAGTATATTCGTTTTGTACATAATTATTTTTTATATTAATATTTTTTATAATATATTATAATAATGAAGGAAATTGTATTAAATACAATCCAATTATTGGTCGATTAAATTTCATCGTTTATATACTATAGACTGAGAAATTATTACAAATATGGAAATAGATCTATTTTTATCTACTATTTAAATAAAGTATTAAATGGCAATTGTTGCTAAGATTTTGAAATTTATCTTCTAATTCTACATTGATACAGAATACAATGATGAAATGATTAAATACAAATTTTAAATCAGGTTATTTACATCTCAAAAAATGTTAAATCTATGTCAATTACATATATATGCTATAGTCCTATTGGCATAGAACCAACATTTAAAATGAGGATAATTAAATATATGTATACTTTCGAAAACAACTAGTTATATTTTAATCAGCGATTTTAGGTTAAACTTTGTATCCATTTGTATATTTGATATATTATATGATAATGTTAATCAATGTTAATACAATATCAAAATAATTTGATAATTCATACATTTTCAAATTCATTTTTTTTAAACATTAAAATTTATTCATTTAACTTCATTTTCAAGAGGATTATTATAAACCATGTAGTGAAATATATGTTACAAAATGCAAACGCCTTATAAGATTATGAAATGCTATCTTGGGATTTTAAGAGTTTTAGTAATAATTCAGATTACTTTAACGATAATTACTATTGTCTACAATAATAATAACATTTATTGCAACAAATTACCAACAACAAACTCAACAAAATAACATAATAAACAAATTAAAACCTAATTGATTGATTGCAAAGGGCTTCTGACTATAAGTCTTTCTAGTATTTTCAACATTTTCAAAGATTCTTAATGAAGAAACAATTTAGAATAACGTGAATTGGTGTAATATATTGCAGCTGTTAGTATGCATTATTCAATATTTACAAGACATTTCAATGTGAAAATATCATTCAAATTTTGAGGAAGTATAAGTGAACAGTATTCAAAAAACTCTACTCTGGTTAAGAATATTATACAAAAAAATCGTAGAAATACTCAAATCCAATTTAAAGTGTAAATTGCTTTATTACATTTTTGTGTATATTGCATTATTTTTTTTATCGTTCATTTAATTAGGTTTTCATTGGGAAAAAATGAACTATCGGAAATAAAAGACGTGTTTTTTGAATTGCGATAATGGGAAATGATTTATTACATTACGAAAGTGTGTTCAGAACGAATTAATTTGTAAAGGTTTGAAATACGTCGTTTCCTGCTTGACAAAAGTACAACAACAAAAAGACTCGAGCGTTCATATAAGTTTATTTTTGTAGATTGTAAAACAAACAATATTTTTAAAGTTGACATACATATGCCTCTATATAAAGTTATCAATTAAACAATCATTTTTTTACTGACATAAAATAAATATAATGTTATCAACTTTACTCGTTGTTCTTATTTACATTCTATTCACTAACTAAAATTATTAAAAAAAAATAAAAGTTGATACATAGGCGTATATGTCTCTAATTGAATAAGATCTGTTGATTTCTTGATTGCGTTAAATTTAATTGCATATTTCCTTTAACTATCCAAATAATAATTTATATTATCTGTACAATGTCAGGACCTTCAACTATGCTTGCTTATGAATTACACAGATACGCGGAATAAAGTGTACACGATCAAGATCAAATTCAGTCTATACAAATTCTCGAGTGTCTTATCATTTTACGTGCAAGCGAGCTGCAAACGATACGCTCGTTTTTTTTTTCCGGTCGTTTATTTCATTGTTTATTTATAATTTGAGTAGGTCTACAAACCAAAACAATATATAACTGTACGATTTCTGAAGGGAATTAAGGTAACGTTTCGGTGTATCCACTGATTGGTAGAGAGGCCTTGGCTGAGAGGCTGGGCGAGCGTTACGTAACAAACATCGTCGGCCGTTGGCCAATCCAATCCGGCTTTTGACTCACCGGCAAGGTTTTCAAAACCTCAGTATTTGGATCATGTCAATGAGGAAATTCCTTTCCCTCCAGTCTCGCCTGGCTGGCCAACACCTGATCAAAAGCCAGTGCGTTCCGACGCGGCCTACAAACCGGACGTTTGTATCGCGAACAATAGGAAACGCGACGCTCTTGCTTTGTGACGTGAACGGAGGAGTAAAAACCAACGGATTATTAATCATGGGTTGCACCACATCGAGACTAGGGATATCCACATCCAACACAACCAGTAAGACACAATCGTCGCAAAAACTATAAGCGCGCTTAAAAGCAGATGTAATACGGTATACGCAAATTTGCGCAAATCGCAGTTCTAATTTTACTTGCAACATGTGTACTTAAAGTAGAATTTTCAATGTCATGTGAATCTGTTGAAGAAAATCAAATGTAAATTCGGCTTTAAACGGCGCGCACAGCACAAAATGCCGCTCACTTATTAGTTCCAAGGTTTTTTTTTTATTCTGTATGAAGCAAATAACAACATGCTTCCCAGAAATAGCATTAATCACATTTAATTTTGAGACGTGAAACTTTCTTTTCGTCTTAATTGCTTCCCACTAATACATTTACAAATTAATAATTAACTTATTAAAGAAATAACAATATTATTAATACTAATTAACTTAACACAATGATTTATATTAATTAAATTGAATACTTTATAATCTTTATAATGCGTGTTAAATATTAACTAAGTCCAATAGAATATTTTATAAACTCAAATATATACAACTAATTAAAAAAAAAAAGAATTGTTGCAACAATTATACAGTTACATAAATAATTGCAGACAAAATAAAACTGTTAAATAAAAAAAAAATATAACAGTTTCTATTGATAATTATTATTAGAATTGTCTAATAATATAATTATTATTATTCGTATTTGATCTAATTATTTATTAAAATATCGATTTGTGTGGCAAAAACTTAAACATACGAAATATTTTAAATCATTTTGGAATTAAACAATTAGATTAAACAAATTCTTTATGGTTTATGCAAGAAAACCTCATTTTCCACATTAAGAACAGTATTTTGATGCATATACTTTAATAATTGATAGAATTCGAATGAATATTATGTACACTTACTGATCAATACTGACTGTAGAGCTCGGGCATTGTCATTACGTGTATTTTTATCTGATTCTAATTAAGTATCGTTTGATGTTGCTTTATAACGAGTCGACCGGAACGTAACTGAATATCATTGAATTCCGAAAAAGGAAAGTATGTGAACTTAATTAAGATTCGATAAAGAAACAAATATTGTATCGGGTTCTGTTTATTTATGAACAGAAGCTTATTTGTATTATCGTAATTACGGGTTGTAATTCATCAACATAAGTGAATATTAATTATATTTTAGATTAACATACAATGCGTGTTTAAAAGTTTTAATAATTCTAGATTATATAAAAAATTATAGACTGTTTCCAATTTGATACAAACACAATAATACATTATGTAAATAAATTTAATTAGGTTTTAGTGTTTATACAACTAAAATAAACTTAAATTAAAATTTTCGTGATTGATGATGAAAAAAAAAATTTGTATGATCTAAAAATGTTGGATTATTAGGTTGTTATCCAATTGGTTTCATATATGTTTTTTGACTGTTTTAACTGTGAAGATTTATAAATAGTATTTCTTATATCTATATATTTTGCGAAGCAATTATTTCATTTTCATACCAGGTCTAGTGTTTCCGCGATTAACGCTAATTTGATAGAATGCAGTCTACCTGAAGTCTAAAACAACTCTAAATTTACAATATGTTAAATTGACCTATTTACTATATGTTAATGTGACTTTAACGCTGTTTCATTAAGCGCTTGTGACCTAGGAACGCTTTCAATGTACTAAACGAAGTTTTACTGTATTTCAATTTTAAGTAATGTCCATTCTTTCTTTTTTTTTGCTATAGAATCGTATTCAATATACTATAGTCATTTATGTCTTCAAATTTAGTCGACTTTTCCGTGTTAGTCAAATATTATTTTAGAAATTATTTGAGTGGAAAACAAAGTAATATAACTTTATTTTGCAAGATGACAAAATCTTATCAATGGGTTAGGTTGAAATTAGCCCGCAAGAAATATTTATCAAGACCAAGATAAGATTTGTTTTTGAAATTATAATTATGTTTATGACAAATCTCTTTAAAAATAATGTCTTTAAACCATTGAAATATTACTATTCGTATAAAAAAAATTGTCTAGTACTTTCATCTATGAAAGAATGTTTTCATCCATATTAATGACTAATTTTATAAAAAAAGAAACAATTTATGTACGATAAAAAACAAATTACAAAATGAAACAAGTTTTTTTACAATTAAATAAGCAATAACGGACTGTTATTGACCGTAGTAAAACAAATTAAATGTGATTATTTTGTAGAATTTGGGAAAGTTTCTTGATCGATAACTTGCTTTTTTTCTAGTCTTTATATTAATACATTTTAAGATAAAATCAAAGAAAAAACGTACGTAAAAGTCGGGCAAAACATATGAATAATAATGTGCAAAGGAATAATTCTTAAGAATACAGATATTGTTATAGCGACATTTATTTTTTTCTATAGTGAACAACGAAATTCCATTACAGATTATCTTTTAATTAACAATATAGTAGCACGCCATTCATATTATGATACTAATAATATGTAAGAAATGTTTATTAATATAAATAGTAAACTATCTTATATATGTTAAATAATAAGTTGTTTAAATAAATGGCTGTTATATAGTGTGGAACCGATGGAAGCCATTTAACATCACTGTAGGAAAAAAATGGTGCAAGTATTTTCATTAATCAGGTATAATGATGCATATTCAACAAAATTCTCAGTGTTCCTGCAGACAAATAATTAATTAACTTAACATATAATGTTATTCACTCATCGTGGGAAAGATACATAAAATAAGAAAATACAAATTATATAGTAATAGCAATGAGCGTGATTAGAAATTATGCTGGTAGCAAAATGCAGCTCTGTTAATTAGCAACGGAAATACACTAAGACCTCGATTAACTTTACTTTAAATTTACCTACTTACTGTATGTTAATGTGACTTTGTTTAACGATGTTTTGAGTAGCGCCCGAGCGGCATTCAAAATATTGCTCTTGGGTGCAAAAAGGTTGGAACTCCTGTTATAAACGTATCTTATGGGTTAAACGAGGTCTTACTGTATAATTTCTGCAACTTTTATTAATATGTAATAAAATAGCTGTTGTATGTTTCATAATCGTTATCAATGATAAATGTACTTGTTTGGGAGGCTTGAACAAGTACATATATGTTTTTTTTAAACGCATACATATATATTAATGATAGCCAGATAATATTTTCTACTGTATTGCATTATGCGTTCCCATTAGCAGTTCAGAAGCGTAGTTTTCGAATGAACCCGTACCTCGAGTGAATTCGTTTCAAAGTCAAACACACATTACGATGTTGTCATTGTTGAACAGATACAATTTTTTATTATTTTTTTTCAATTAATTTTTTATTATGAAAAACATTTCATAAATTGATATTAATGTTTAAAATTCGATTCGATCTTATTGGATTTTCGTTTGAGGTTCAAATGAACCGAAATGAGTGAATCCGTTAACGAAGTTAATAGAAAGCAGACAGGTGCCGTTGATAAATTCACACGGAGATCATTAAAACCCTCTTTAGAAAACGGTTATGCTCTTTGGCAGCGATTTAAAAAATATAATTATTGTACATTTTTGTGTAGTTGGAAACGGCATTGAAGTTACGTCACGCTCGAGTCGAATGCGAGGAAACAAAGTAAACAGGATAATTGTTCACTTGCCTCGGGATGCGTTTTCAATTGATTGTTTCTCTTGATAGCAACATGCAATGCAATGTATTATAATTACATAGTTTAAGAATTAATGCATAATCGCAAAGATAGTTATTATTATTAATATATATTTAATTATTTTATTTAAATAATATATTTATGAATTTGTTCTAACTATAAAATAAAAAATCAATCATTTACGTCAAATGTCGCAATTTGAAGGTAATAGTAGGTATTTGTACATTAAGAAATTTAATCTAAGAAAATACGACTTCGATTGGTACATCTTGTAATTGTCCCTTGACGGACACGTGATTTGAGCGCGGAGGGTCGATACTATGCGCAAACATAACCACTGTACTGTGAGACCCGTCATGCGGTCCGTTTTGCAATACTTATCGCCCTTAAAAAGGACAATCCAAAATTATTCGATGTGGTATTTTGCAGCAAAGGATGACGTCTACGTGGAAGACGTGGTGTGCCAGGATGGCGACATCAAAGAGAACGAGATGAAATCCTTCGAGCTGGGCGACGCCGGAAAGGTGCTGCTGGTCAGGCAAAATGGGAAACTCAGCGCAATTGGGTCAAAGTGTACCCATTACGGGGCCCCTCTGGAGACGGGAGCTCTGGGCGAGGGTCGTATCAGATGCCCATGGCATGGGGCATGCTTCAATATTGCAAACGGCGACATTGAAGATTTCCCAGGTAATATCAAATTAAATCAACATCGATTAAAACGTTTCTAATTATTGATACTCAACAGGATTGGATTCGTTGCCTTGCTACGAAGTCAAAGTGGAGAATAACAATGTTAAAGTACGCGCGAAGAAGTCCGACCTGCAATCCAACAAAAGAGTTAAAACCATGTGCAAGATGGATTCTGGAAATGATGAAAAAATCGTCGTGATCGGAGGAGGACCGGCCGGTGCTACTTGCGTGGAAACTTTGCGACAGGAAGGATTCACAGGCAAAATAACTATGATTTGCAAAGAGAATTACTTGCCCTATGATCGTGTAAAGGTTTCAAAGAGCATGGACGTGGATATCGAGAAAATACAGCTGAGATCCGATGCTTTTTACAAAGAGCACGACATCGAGGTGCTTAAGAATACCGAAGCGGTCTCGGTCGATACCCAAGCTAATTCGGTGAGCTTGAATAATGGTAAAAAGCTGGATTACACCAAAATTTTCATTGCTACCGGTTCAAAGGCCATGAAGGCTAACATTCCAGGAGCGGAATTGGGTAAAGTTGTCGTGATTAGGAATTACGATGATGCTAAATACATCAGGCAGTTACTCAATAAGGAGATGAATGTGGTTGTTTTGGGTGCTAGTTTTATAGCTATGGAAGCAGCTAGTTATTGCGTGGACAAAGTAAAGAGCGTAACTGTAATTGGCAGGGACCAAGTACCATTCAGGCAATTACTTGGTACTGAAATTGGAAGCGCTTTCAAGACTTTGTTTGAAGAGAAGGGCATTAAGTTTGTCATGAATTCCGGAATGAAAGCATGCATTGGGGATGGAGAGGGTAACATTCAGCAGGTGGAATTGGTTAACGGCGATAGGTTGGAAGCGGACCTTTGTATTATGGGCGTAGGCGGTGCTGTAAACACCGAATTCTTGAAAAATTCAGGAATCGAATTGACGAAGAATGGATCAATCGAGGTTAATGAATTCATGCAGAGTAACGTACAAAATGTTTACGTTGGAGGAGATATAGCTTTTGCTCCAGTGTATTCCAATGATAATTTAAAATCTGCAATTGGGCATTATCCATTGGCACATTACCATGGTAAAATTGCAGCGATGAACATGACCGGCAAGGCCACTCCCCTAAAAGCCGTACCATTCTTTTGGACTATGCTTTTTGGTAAAGGTATCCGATATTCTGGTCACGGTAAATACGATAATATTTTGTATTCCGGTAACGTACAAGAGCTGAAATTTGTCGCTTACTACATGAAAGATGATAGAGTCGTAGCTATTAGCAGCTGCGGACGGGATCCTATTGTATCTAAATATGCGGAATTAAGGGCGCAGGGCAAAGATCTACTCAGGAACGATTTAGGAGAAGACCTTCTCGCCTGGACACGTTAAATATATGTTACGAAAAGCAAAGTATTAACTTATTATCTTGTTATTTATGTTAGTTACTTGAGATTTCTAATTAATATTTATATATCAAACATATTTTTGTAACTTTAATTTTTATATTTAATTGTAACATTAAAAATAAATATTTTATTTCAAAGTTTAAACAATAATACTTACTCTTCAATTGAAACTTGTCAACCAATGTTAAAAATAGTTGCATAGAAATGTCTGGTTTTCATTAACAAACAATATTTAAATTACTACAAAACAACAAACATTTATTTACAAACTACATTATATATAATAATTTAATCCCAAGATTCCTTAAATCTTAAATGATTCAGACGATCTTCCAATCTCACATTATCTTTGAATTCCTTCTGCTTCATCTTCATGGCTAGCAAATTTCTTTCCACTTTACCTAAGGCTATAGCATGACCTTTAGATTCTTCCTAAAATTTATATAAGTATTATTGCTGGAGATCACCTAAGGATTAGTTGAAGTTACAAACCATAGTCAAATAGGGATGCCTCAAGTAGAACATATTCTTCTCTTCAATTGCATATTCGTTCCTCAACTTTTGCATATCTCTTGGGGTCACCTCTTTCACCAGCCTTTGTTTACCTCTGTAGATATGACCATTGGGCATACCTTTCCTACGAAATAAGGCTTGGAAAAGTTTCATCTTGAATACACTTATCCACAAACAAGTGCTGAAGTAAATTAATAAAATTTGAGGTTATTATTACTTATTGCCAACTACTGAAGTAAAATTTGAAATTTACGTTGTACTCATTTTCCAAATATATAGGTTGAATATGTTTTTTTTAAATTTTGTTTTAACAACTTTATGTTATAATAATAAATCATTATTTTATGGTTGTTAAGTACCAATTTCAGGCAGTAAAAGGAATCGAAAGTATGTAAAAAATAATATTTTTCAATTGCTACATCTACGTCAATTTGTGTATTAACAATAGGTTTATATCAAGATAATATAATATTATAGTTAAATCTATTTTTTTTTATAAATATATTGCATAACTTTGCGTAACGTGCGTAACTTTCGGTATATCAGTTCGTAAGTAGAATGTTTAGTGATCAAACCTATATCGATTATAGGTGAATATAGAAGGTGACAGTGTTAATTTAACGTACATATATAACATTCATTATCGTATAAGTAAGTTGTATCAACAAAATATTGATAATTGTAGTTATTTATTTATTTTTCATAAACTTTAGGAGAAATAACCTACAAACATGTCATCCTTTATGAGAAGATTATGCAAACCAATTTACACGCAAGTGAATATTTTGGTTATTGCTAAAAAATCAAATTTGAATCAAATACGGTTACTATCTGTAAGCCGTCAGCAATTCTTCAAATCACCAACCAGTATTTTCGCCATCCAAGAAAATATATCATCATTGCATTTAAAGAAGAGGCCATTACGCAAAAAGAAGCCTTTTGAGGATGATGAACTTAAAGTACCTGGTCTTTATAATGTCCTTGCATATTCAACTGCTGAAGAGTATGATTTAGAGGCTTTGGTGAAGGGATTACAGAAGGAGGATCTGTATGAACCCAAAGCTATTGACAATAACATGGATGTTGTCCATGCAGTTGCTAAATATAAATTGGGAAATGAACCTAGGGAAATCTTTTTCTTCAGGGAAGGCAGTTGTGTAATGTGGAATATGACTGATATGGAAAGCTGCAATTTATTACATTTCCTAAAGCCTTATGAACAAGACAGCTACACAGAGAATTTTGTGCAGAATGAAGCTGAAGTAATGAATTACAAACATCAAATTGAAGGGTAATTGCTTCACTTATTGAATATTAGTAATATTATTAAACATGTATTTTATAGAAAAACAGCTGGTTTGAGTCCTTTAGGTGATATGTTGATATCTCCAGCAGACAACAGTCTTGAAAAATACACGTTTTCCAATGCTATTGCCTTGTCAGTGAAGTTGGGTATTTGGGAATCTTCTTTGGAGAAATACATTGATTCAATTGAATTTATAACTGGGGATCTGAAGAATGGCACTAGAATCAAAATGACTCAAGAAGAGGCTCTGAGGAAACATGGAGAGTTATTTGCATTAAGGCATGTCATAAACTTGAGCTCAGATTTGTTGGATGTGCCAGATTTCTATTGGGATAGAGAAAATTTAGAAGTGCTGTACAATTCAGTGTGCACGTATTTCAGTATCACTAAACGAACGAGAGTAAGTTTATGAATGAATAAGAAAATATTCTTAATTTATATAATACTTTTTAGGTGATGAATGAGAAAATTAATCATTGCGTTGAATTGATTGAACTACTATCAAGTCATTTAAGTGATAAGCACCATTGCAGATTAGAGTGGATGATTATTGTCCTTATTATGGTTGAAGTTGGATTTGAAATTATTCATTATGTAGATAGATATTTAGTTTAAGATATTTATAATTATTTTAAAAAAGCATTATGTAAAAAAATATGCATTTATCCTAAAACGTCATTAGAAATGAATACATATTTTTAAAGTATTTTATGTATTAGATATCACAAATTATACAAAAAAAAAATGAAGCAAAATATTCATTTATGTTATATTCCATGGCTAACAGTTTTTTTGTTGTCAATGTCTATTATGGATTGGAGGAATGTGTTGCCATTGATCAACTTTGTTGTTGCGACTACAAATTCTACATTGGAATTTTCCTGCTGAGATAGAAAACGAAGAGCCGAGATCTGCAAAAATAACACATTAGTTTCAAGGTATTACATTAAAAAAAAACAAAATATTACTTCTGCAAATGTGCAACCACCAATGAAAAAGACTAGCACCACGGTTGGAGCATCGTTTAAAGCGGAATTCGATATTGCGCCATTATAAATATTGGAAGTATCTTCAACGTTCGGCCCTGCAAATATTTTATTTAATAAGTAGAAATTAGTGGTTTTCACTACAAATAAATTAATTACCTGGTAAAAGACCTAAGACGTCTTGCAATTGTTTCCAACCACCGTTTTTCATCAACTGCTCAGCAATTCTTATACTGAGTGGTGCATAAATGCTATGCACATAGCTGATATCTATTGGATTAATTTCGGAAGTATCTTCCACTGTAAGCCTCATTGTCTTTCTCAAAACAGCATATTGTCTACTACCAGTTTGTACTTTCAACAAACCAACCTTTTCTAAATTGTTTAAAGCCAACAGTGCTTCAATACCATAAACTTGAACAAGTTCCCTTTTGTAATATTCCAATAACTTTGGTTTTAAGCCTGATCCAGTCAAACATTGCAAACAAATCAATCGAAGAACCTTTATCATTGGTGCTTTTTGCGCCAGTAAATCTTCAATATACCCATTTGCTTTATCAACTTCTATGCAATTTAAGAACTCTTGTTCCACCTGCAAAGAGTCAAGAAAATCAAAGCTGTCAGTTACGTCTTTAATGGATTCAGCGATTGCTGTGTGTCTTGAAAGAGCATTTTTGTTTGCTAATATATTTGGTAGTTTTTGCACGAAAACCTTCATTTCTTGCACCGATATCTCATGGCGCTCCTCCAGCTGGGCACTAATAAGTTTCGCTTGTTTCGACAGGAAAGCTCCGACTGCATTAAAGTTTTTATCCCTTAAATCCGTAAAAAGGGCATCTGCCGAGTCTAAGATTACAGTTTCTTTGGCTTCAGCAAGAGATTCGCTCACTCTATCAGTTTTATTTTTGAATTTGTCCGCGGGAAAGCAGGCGGTTGTATTATTGAGTCCGAAAATTTCGTCAATTAAACCTTCGTAAGTCAACTGAGTAGCCAATGGCGTTATCAAATCTATTGAACGATCAATCAGTAAGATTTGATCGATCGACGTAGTTTGATTATTCTTGAATGTTTCCTCTAAATTATTCTCTCTTTGCAATCTCTTAACCAAGTCCCAAACCTGCTTTGCAGCTTGACCTTTGCCCCAGACTCTGGGTATAGGTCCATAGATCTTCTGCAGAGTAATAATTGCTTGGGCAATTTTGTACAGAGTTGTAGGATCATTCTGTATATGGTATTCACCAAACACTTCTGGAATCTCCATGGAAATTAGATCTGAATCAACTGGGAAGAATTCACAATTTAATTCTTCTATATATGTTAAGCTTCCCAACATGCCTCTATTCTCAAGTCGTTTTTTACAAAGCAAACTGTTCCTTGTGAGAAAGAACAGATGATACTGTTTTGAATTGCCACTGGTTTTCTTTGATTCATGAACATTTTCTGCAATTAAATCCATACTGTGGAGCTTAGGTCTTGATATGAAAATCACATGCTCAGCAGGATTTTCCAATAATGGACCAGTTCTCAAAGGATACATTTTAATCACACCCATTTCCTTTAATAATGAATATTGGGCTATTAAGCCCATGGGGCCACTGATTGAAGACTCCCAGACAATGAGCTTTGTACCAGAACACTTTTCAATTAAATTAATTAATGTGTTTCTTGCTAATGAATGTATTACAGATACATCCATTTTTCCTCCTTGTAAATGCCTCATTTTATCCTTTTAACTTTCACAACACTATAAACATATCACTCCCACAATAAACAGCTGACTAAAGCAGACACAGACTGTCACTGTCAGATATGTAAACAAAGCTGCAACCATATTTACAGCAAATAATATTTAGATAATATCCTAATTAATATTGACAAACAGTTTTAGGGGACTAGAAATATAGCTGTAAACATAATTATATTCTAATTATTTTAGAATATCTTAGATATTCTATGTAAGCTGGTAAATACACCTTAACCCCTTGAAGGGCCAGAAATTCCTAGTCCCAGATAACTTCGTCAACTGAATTAACATCGGATGGTATGGATTAAACATAAACATCTTCTACTGACATATCAAATTTATCCATTTTCTGGATATTTTCTATAAAATTATAATGCTACACTAGACATATTCAAATGATGGGACAATGCGTGTCCCATCGCCCCTCGGAGAGTCAAAGGAATTGTATTGTATAGAAAAGGAATAACATAAAAACAAAAATGTAGCTTCATTCATTCAATTCCATTATCCTTTTTTATCACATTTTTTTTAGTTTTTCTTTGTAGCTTTTTAAAATATACTTAAAGATTATATATATATAATATAATAATAATATATATAAAAGCGTCTTCTATCTCTACAAAACTAACTTTTTTGATATATATATATATTTAATATACTTATTTATTTATCACTAATTTCATCACTTTCTTCTTGCCAACTCTCGTTCACACTCTCCGCATTCTTTTCGTTTTTCAATTGGTCACTCCACATTTTTGCGTATTCTCCGTCCTGACCCACCAAATACTCATGGCTAAAAAATATGATTATTTAAGTGTTATAATTTACATATATAAAATGTTGATCTCACCGTCCCCTTTCAACAATTTCGCCTTCTTTTAACACCAAAATTTCATCAGCATGAATGATTGTTGAGAGCCTATGAGCAACTATGATTGTCGTTCTGTTAGTGCACACTTCACCTAAAGCACCCTACAAAGTCATTGAATCGTATAGTTAATATAATCAACATCTTTGTTGTCTTTACCTGTATATTTCTTTCAGTCTGTGTGTCTAAAGCACTCGTAGCTTCATCAAGCAAAACTATAGTCGGAGCTTTCAAAATAGTTCTGGCAATAGCGACACGCTGTTTTTCTCCTCCACTTAAACGCAGTCCTCTTTCACCAACCTATATGTATATAAAATCGTATAAATATCAAATTATTTTTAGTTCCAATTTTAATTACCTGGGTATCATAGGCATCTGGGAAGGTTAAGATGCGCTCATGAATATCCGCTGCCTTTGCAGCATTGATGACATCCACGTCTTCAGCTGACAAACGACCATACTTAACATTATACCTACAAATAAGTATTATATCATAATTTCTAATATTGGTTTCAAGAATATTAATTACTTAATAGTATTATTGAACAAAACAGTGTCCTGTGGCACTACTCCAATTGCTCTCCTAAGTGATTCTTGCGTGATAGTCTTCACATTTTGACCATCGATGATGATAGACCCAGTCTGAACATCATAAAATCTAAACAATAATCTTATAATTGTGCTCTTTCCTGATCCAGAGGGACCAACCTACAAAACAAAGCAATTAAGAAATATTTATATTGCATTACATTAATAATTACAAGAGCCAACGTTTTTCCTTCAGGCACATTAAACGTTACTTTCTTCAATATCATTCGTTCTGGCAGATATCCGAAACTGACATTATTAAATTCCACTACTCCTCTTTTAACAATAAGTGGTCCTGCTCCTGGGGCATCAATAACTTCTTGGTTTTCTTTCAGAAGATCGAACATGTTTTCCATGTCAACGAAGTTTTTCTGAATTGCTCTAAAATACTCAACAATTCAAATATAGACATGCAAACAGCGATAATTAAATTGGAATTATTTAACAATAGTTTACCTGTAATAAGTTCCAAACCAATTCAATGGTGTGTACAACTGAATGATGTAACTTGCGAAAAGTACGTAATCTCCGACAGACAGTTTCGCCTCGTCAACGACTAAATGAACGCAAAGCAAACTTCCAGCCAAAAGCCCACAGCAAATAATGATATTTTGTACTGTATTCAATATATTTAAAGTAACAATAGACTTCCATTCCTCTTTCTGAAAGCCCATAAATAATGGTGTGGATTAATTATCAAGTCTTAAGTTGAACCATGTTTAACGAAGCGCAGCTTTATGGTTCGTAGATTAAGTTTGGCTACATGCAAAAGTAGATGTGATGCAAAATATGAATTTTGAACTGACCTGGAAGTTCAAAACAGCGTCTTTGAACGCTTCAACCTCGTATCCTTCAGCTCCGTAATATTTAACAGTTTCGAAATTGATCAGCGAATCCATGCTTCGTGCACGGGTCGCGTTGTCAGCTAAATTCATTCTTCTTTGGAATTTAGTTCTCCATTCTGTTACCGCAATAGTACTTACTGAAATAATAGCGTTTAATAAGAATATTAAATTTGTTGCATAATCAATCTTACTTATGTAGAGTAGCATAGTTACAAAAACAATTAAACCAAACCAAACATTGAAGGAGGATACGAAGAAAATGCAGGCGATTATGATATCGATAATAGTTGGAGATATGGAAAATATGATGTAACTCAAAAGATTGTTTATACTGTCAGTGCCACGATCCATTATCCTCAACACTTCGCCAGTTTTGCGCCCCAGATGCCAACGTAATGATAAACTATGCAGATGTCTGAACAGTTCCACCTGAAAACATAATTTGTGATTTTTCTCCTTCAATTCAACTGAAATAAGCCATACCTCGACTTCTCTAGTCGTATACTGTTGAATCCTAATCCACAGGAAAGAACGCAGATTGTTCAACAGCCCCATTCCTCCGGTTCCGCCTCCTTGTAAGAATTTAAAAGTGACGTAAATCAAGATCCAATCCCAACGGAACGAAATTGGGGCGACAGTCATGCTATCAACTAAAAAATATAATTATACAATTAGTACAATTTTTATGAAAATAATTATGATTCAAAACAAACCTATCATTTTATTGAAAATGGGAACATACAAGTTGATGACACGACCTCCAGCCAGTAAGCACAAACAGAAAAGTACCCTGAATTGAAGAAAGCAATCTTTCTTGGGCCACAGAAAGGGTGCCAAAAGTCTGACCTTTTTCCAAAAATTCTTCCAAGTTGATTCATTTTCGTTGGTACTCTAAAAAAATATTTTTTAAATATATTCAAGTAATTATATTATCTATACATCGTCCATGCAAAACATGATTAAAGATAATCAATAATGTAGTAACATTATCCATGATTTAAGTTAAGAAACATATTTACTAGAATTTGGATTGGATGAAATATGATTAACTGTCAAATTGGTTTTTAAAACTTACTTTGCGTTTACCTTTGGTTTGATTTTGATACCTAAATGACCAATTTCAAATGGACACTTTTTAACAGAAACAGGCACATAATGGCCTTTTAAATTGATTGACATAGCATCAAAATTTTGAAATATTAGCAAGAAAATCTTAATTAATTTGGAAATGTCAAATTTTGATTATTTAGCAAAAAATGTTTTATATAATGCAGTGAGGAAATATTTAAATTAAAAAAAATTATATAAAGTATTATACAATTTCAAAAACTTACTTGTCCAGGAGTATTATTAGTGCCATCATTTAAACTTAAATAATCAATGTTCTGCATGATTCCAGGTGCCTTAAGACCCAGGATAAACAACAGTAAGCTAGTCACATAACGTATAATGAAAAGAGACATTTCTATTTCATCAGTTGTGCTGAAAAGAGATGTTAATTTTACTTGTTTCACTTGATATCTTTGTACTAACCTTTCTAAATGGAACCACCAACTCTTTTTGCCAAAATTGATGAATGCCAAATTCTCAGCAATGAAGCATAATGTCCAAAAACCCAAGAGCACCAAACCATGTCCTCTGGTTGGAACAGAAGGTAAAAGAAATTTTCTTTCTTTCACAATGACAAGAAATGAAAATGGATAAATCAGAACCATTAATATTAAGTGAACAATCTGAAAAAAAATAATATAATTATTTATGCCGATGTCTGTTGAATGTTAATTGATGTACCATATATCCATGAATAACTTTGTCATTGAGCAAGGTTGCTTGCAAAGCAAACCTTACAATGATCAAAACTGGAGCAAGTAATGTTAGGAATATCTGCAGGTTGTACAATTTGGACTTGGGCAATTGAAATAATGGTACTTCGGATCCATATCTCCTGTACATACATAGTTGAATTGTGCCAGCAATTAAAAAATATCCAGCAATCACAGTTGCTGTCATTGTTTCCATAAAACATTGTGATATGCCATGGTCTATCCAAATGTTATCAAATGATATTCCCGGTGGACAATACAACATTATTGTTCTGTAATTTGTTTAAATGAACTAAAAATCATATAATTGTCGTTATTGTTAATAGTTTGACGATTGTTTTACTTACATGAAATTTTAATATAATGCACTGAAATTGATCGTTTCAGGGAGAAAAATAACAATTTTGCATTGTTTGTTGTTTAGTCATTGGTAATTAATATGCGAATGTCAGCGAGTTTGATGGTTAGAATATTTTGTTCAGTATATTCGGTTGCATAATATTATGAAATGAATCAGTTCAAAAGTTAAATAATATCCTTGAGAACGTGTGGCTATGGTCGCCTGTATCACGAAAATCAGATACGAAAGGTCGTTGGTTCAATTCCGAAAAATTAACAAAAATTTGTGGTGGCTGTTAAACCCAAAAGGGGTAGAAATAGGGCCGGAGAGATTTATATCAATAAATAAATTGATATAAATCTCTTTAATTAAAAAAAAATCCTTGAGGAATTGATACTGATTGATACAAGTATTATTCAAGAAAAAAATAATTGGGTATCACAATTATTGAATTTAATTTATTAATAATAATTTGTTATTATTTATTAAATTGCTTGTAATTTGGCACTAACTGTGAAAAATATAAAACATAAATCATATTTTATTTTGCACAATGCAAATATTGCATTTTTTTTTATAATTGTAATCTAACTTTAAATATTTAATTAAATAATGATTCTACATGTTTTATATTCTTTTATATTTAAACTTTGCTTATATTAAATTGCATTTAAAATATGTATTATATAAATAGAAATGTTTAGTATAACGAATTGCCTATAGATGGTACACAAAGCATTTATGTTATTATTATTGCCTATGGTTAAACATATGTTGTCTGTCAAGATAAACGTTAGTTCATTAGCATTTTGACGTTGGTGACATTTAAAGGTTATGTTTTTTAATCTTTAAGTTCCTTAGGTGGTTTGGTGTCAACATTTATTTATATAGGAAATGAACGCTATAGGCTTAAGTATGATTATGAAAATGGGATGCTTATGCAGAAGAGAAACAATAAATATAAATGGAACAAAGTATATAATTGTTGAACGTCTAGGAGAAGGGTAAGCATATTGTTAGTAATTTATTGTTTGATAATAACATCTGCTTTACAGAGGCTTCAGTACTGTAGACTTAATAGAAAGCAAGTCCAACAAACGTAAATATGCATTAAAAAGAATGACTTGCCATAGTATAGAAGACCAGAAGAAGGTGCTTCAAGAAATTGAGTATCTAAAGAAGCTAAAGCATTCAAATATTATGGAACTTATTGATTCTACTTTTAAAGGTAATGTATATTTATTTAAATATTTAGTTGATATTAATGGTTGTGTTTTAGGCTCAGCAGATATTGTTGTGAATGCAACATCAGATGCTCTTATGGTACTGCCTTATTACCCTAGGGGGACTTTACATGACCATTTAGGTATTAAATCTTTAGAGAAAGAGTACATGAGTGTAGAGGAAATATTTAGAATATTTTCGAATATTTGCAGTGCTGTGCAATATTTACATGAACTTAAACCAGAGCCTTTGGCACACAGAGATTTGAAAACGGCGAATGTCTGTTTCACGGATAATTTTACGCCTACTTTAATTGATTTTGGATCAATGGCACCAGCAAGGGTGCAAGTGTGTGGTTCACAAGATGCTCAGAAGTTACAGGACATTGCAGCGGAGCAGTGTTCAGTTCCATATAGAGCTCCAGAGTTGTTCAATGTGGAGAGTTACTGTGTTATTGATGAAAGAACAGATATTTGGAGCCTGGGATGTATACTTTACGCCATGTGCTATTTTATGTCTCCATTTGATTTAGTTCATATGAGAGGTGATTCTGTGGCTTTGGCAGTGTTGTCTGGAGGAGTTCACTTTCCGGAGGATTCACATTATCCTGGAGATATACACGATTTAATTTTATATATGTTGAATACGAATCCGGCCGATAGGCCATTCGTGCAGAATGTCATCGAAAAGACCAATTTTGTTGCTAACAAACTTGGCAACGTAGCTTAAGTAAACAATTTATATTATATAACCATTTTATATATATGAGAGATAAATATTAACAGATAATTTATTTATGGACAATTAAAGATAACATTCCAATTTTAGTGATGATTTTATTTCCGTATCATATGACGTTAGGGTGTGCATATTTATAAGAGAATAAACGTTTAAATTATATTTAATTTTCATAAATAATATATCAATAACATTGTTAAAATTACACCAATTTTGCAGAAGCAGAAGTTTATCCTCTGCTCGTGCAATACGAATTAGTAGAAATACTGTTTTTCACGATTAATTAAATTAAATTGTTTAATTTCGATCACTTTGAATTTTTGCATGTTTTAAACAATAATTTACACTTTAGAAACTAGAGCCGTGGTAACGTCATTTTCGTTATCACTAGGTGGTTCCTTGACGTCCGAACTGCTCGTAGCACCGTTTGAATTCACGTCAACGTGAGGTGGAAGGTTGCCACTGTTCGCATCTTCGATGGCCGTCCTTAATTCCTTCAATCCGACCACGCCCACCAACTTCCCTATGGCCGTCACGTAAGCGTGGTTCACGCCCACCATCGAGAATAGCGAATGCACTTTCAGCAGAGAAGTCCTTTCCACGAGTTGGAACGGAGCTGGGTCTATATGACATGTCGTGAAGTCTACAGGTAAAGACATCTGCTCTTCCTCCCAGCTTCTCTGATCATCTGCAGACATATCGCAAACTCTCTCGCGCGGCTGAAATAATAACAACATATTATTTTGATATCAGAATGGCAATCAGTGTTATTTACTAGTTGGACTTTCTTGGAGCTCGGACTCATTGGTACAATTTGTGGCTTAGTTTCTAAATTATTTCCATCTAAAGTTGGAGTACTTTCTACGTTAACATCTTGTAACTGGCTCGATTTCCTAAAATAAAAATATTTATACTATTAGGTGATTCAATTTATTTTTATTCAATATACCTAAAGATTGCTTCGAAAGCCAAACGCATTCGGCTCTCAGCCCCTGTCACAGTGGTGTAGGGCGTCGAACCTGGACTGGTTTGCATTAGCGGAGTAAAACCTTTCAGCGTGAAAGAATTGGTTTTCTTTAAAATAGATTTCTTCGGTTGACTGTTGAAAATTGGATGATGGTAAGTGGTTGGCTGTAATTAAAGTAAATTATAATTTGTGAATGTGATTATTATTTATAAATAATCTCACTCTATCCATGTTTAATTGATTTTCGGAGAGTTGCTTCACGCCTAAGACATCAGGCGCCGGTACAACCTGGAACCTGGATGGTCTCCTTTGACGTTCTCTAGCCTTTCTCTCGGCCTCTTCCCTCGCCCTTTCCTGGGCCTCTCTCTGCCTAATTGCGGCCACCTGTAGTCTCCTCTCTCTTCCTATCTGCTGCTCGATTAACTGTATCAACTGTATCCTTTGAATGGATCCAAGAAGGACCATGTTATCCGGGCTATCAACCAATGGGAAGCTTTGCAATCGTCTCGATTCCTTCAGAATCGTCTTTAATTGTTCGTAATTGATAGTGTGGAAGATGTACTTGATGTCTCGAACCATGAAATCTTCCACACAAATATTGTACATTCCGCTGCTGCTAGGCAGCAGATCAGGAAGATACGGAAGTTTCTTGATCAAAATAATGCTGTCGTACATGCTCGGAGCTAGGAGACTAGCTATGGCGTTCGAAATCAATACAGCAATCATTATAGGAATAATATGAGTAATTTGTCCGGTCATCTCGAAAACTATCACGGAAACGGAAATCGTATGCGTGACAGCTCCACTGAATGCTGCAGATCCTACAGTTGCGTATCCACCAGGTATGATTGGCGCCACCAATCCTCCATACCTCATTCCCGATGGGAACCATATGTGCATACATTCACCGATAATTCTTCCCAAAGCGGCACCGATTTTGAAAACCGGGATAAAACTTCCACTAGGAACTGGAATCGTTGAACTTATTATCGAAAATATAAACTAAAACCAAAGAAAACACATATAATAATAAATAACTATTTATTTAATTGAGTTTGTCTTACCGTAAAAGCTATAAAACAAGTTAAATTAATTAAAACTCCGGTATAAGGTGTTTCCCAATGGTTCAAGGTAGCTTGTTCTTCAACTGTTAAGTTGGTTCGTGTCCAGGTAAAGTTGCTGAAGAGACTTACCACTTGGTCGTGTGTCGTGAGATCTCCAGCCATGAATTGGCCCAAACCTAGAGGAAATGATACCGTTGCGACCATCAAGGAAACAATTCCGGGGTAAATGAAACGACTGGAAATTAAATATTATAAATGAAGTCAATTATTTCTAATTAAATTTTCAGTTACTTTTTCTGTAGAAAACTGTTGATTGCTTTGTTTTTCCTCATAAACATGACGTATTGCCTATGTACCCACACGTAAAAGGCTCCGCCTACACCAGATACGACTCTAGATGGAAATGCATCTTTAATATGCTGTATAATACTATTTGTAGTATATAAAAACTTACCCTATTAGGGCGTATACGAAGAGCTCTTGCGGATCGAACGGAAAATCCATCGTGAAATTCGTTCTGAATACCGCAGTGACCGTGTCAGCTCCTTCGAACCAAACTGCTAGCAGTCTGAATATGGTAGCTCCGCACACGGCAGCGAAGAATCCTCTCCAGTAGTTCCTCACCGCGAAATAGACGGTAGTTACTTCTATGCTGAACAGCACTCCTCCGACTGGAGCGGCAAAACAACTTGCGACTCCGACAGCGCATGCAGCCGCCAACATTTCAGTTGTCCTACTCTCGTTCTCATAGATTCCTTGAAATCCCGTCACTAATTTACTAAGCAGTGTAGCTACGATACTAGCGATATGCACGAAAGGGCCTTCCTTCCCCAACGGCATTCCGCTACCCAAAGTCGCCGTGAGGCCAACGATCTTCGCAACCAGCGTTCGAAACGTCAGATACTCCTTCAGGGCGACGCCTCGAAGGATCGTCTTCATCTCTGGAATGCCGGAACCTATTGATTGGGGTGCCACCAGGTGCACGAAGCCGGCGCTGAACAGAATCAAGCAAACCGGAAGTGATACCCAGGCGGCGTACTGTGCCAACGGATGGTTCGTCAAATCTCTGAACAACCATATTCTGGCTGCAAACGCAAACAAATCCAAGTAATGAAATTATTAAGAAAGTTCATAACTTAGTGGTGCAGACGTTACCTTTGTTGCACATAGAAATCCCTCGGTCCATTATAAAACTTATCACTGCCATGATCACGCCGAGCAGCGCCAAGAACACCCAATCCTCGCCCAAACGGGCGAACGTGTGCTTCCATAGGAACGACACTGTTTTCGCAACTTTGCCTAAATGAAAAACCACAACTTAACTAAAAATCATACAAATTACGAAACACTCGTATAGAATTTACGTATTAAAGGTGGATGCGCCGGGGCTTGAAAAACAACTTAATTATAAACAAGCGTACAATTTGAATTAAACGACATTTAAAAATAAAAACAACAACTATGAATGACGATCAATTGGAATCTGTTGATTTAAACATATGTTTATGTTTACGGAGCGCATCTACTCGGGATTTGTAAATTATTTTTAAATGAATATCGTTCGATCGCTCTAACACAAATGCGGTGACTTAATAAAATTCATTGGTTTATTATTCAAATCAGGTCGTTACATTTGGCTCATCATTGACGTAACGATTTATGCACACACAACTATTGTTCTCAACAAAATCATTGTATTTTTTAAAATTTTGTTTACAAATAAACTGATGTTATGTAACTGTAATCTAGGTAAATTATCTGATGTATGTAAAATATTTATTCTCAAATAATAAAAAGTAACAAATTACTATACAGTAGTTTAATTTTTCTTAACCAACTGTTTCAGTTAATATTATGTTCAATAATCTAGTTAGATTTTATAAATAAATACATATGTGATATTCATACTACATTTTTTTACTAAATACAGATAACGTGAGTCAACAGATATTATTTGAAAATAAATATAAAAAGAAATGAAATTGACTTTTTATCACTGAGTCTCACCTTGGTATCCTCTCAACTCCTTCTTTCGGGCTTTCTCCTCTTTTAATCTTCGTTTTTCTGCTTGCTTTAGAGCTTCTAATCGTGCGAATTCTCCCAGTTGCCGGCTGTACCGGCCATACATCTGAAAAGAAAAAGGAAATTTAGAAAAAAGTCAACATAAAGTTACATAACGCGTCTGAAAAATGTTGAATTGTGATACGTTACAGCGAATCGAGACTGATGTATTTTCATCAGAATAAAAGAAATCTTACAATCGTGCTTATGTAATCATCTTCTGGTCCTGGGCAAGGATAAAACGCTTGATCCTGCTTGTTGCTCTTTTTCCTTTCAACGAGTTTCGCGAACTCATCCCATTCCTTGTCTACAGCCGCAGGGTCTTCCTCCCCATACTGGGATTCGGGCATGGGATTGATATTCTCCATTTCGATGTGCGCTCTTGTTCACCGTGCAAGAATTTCAAAAGTAGCTGTACGTTTTGCGAGGGTACATTTCGACTGAATCGGAATTTGGGAGACGCGGCTATACTGCTATGCTCTCCTATTAAGATTTGCGGTCCGGAGGAGAGGAAACGCGACTCCGGCAACGACACATCTCCGTCCGACGGATGCAGATCTATCATGACCGTCTGTCTCAGATCGCATCGACTGGCCAATTTTTCAATTGAAATGTCGTTTTGTTCATTAGCTCGTTGGCCACTCTATGTGTCACTCACACATGCTCGAGGCCTAATTGCGTTAGGCAACAACCAGAAGCCGAGGGAACGGAATAAAAAATAATAATTGAAGAAAAACAAAGGCGAAATCATCGTCGCATTGATTGCAACGAGAAAGCGGGGCCTTTGAAATCTCGTGCGGCATGATTACATATTAATTGCAAGCTTCCAGTTAAAACATGACTGTGCGCCATGTACAAATCAAAACAAACATCATATGGTTTAGCCTGAATGCTCAAAATTGCGTAATATGTGTTTTCAACAAATAGTTATAATTACTATAGTTTTCTTCAAATGTTTATTAAACATTACAAAATAAATTTAAAATAATTGAATAATATATAACATTACTATATTTAGAGCGTTGACAATATTGTTACTTAATATATAATATTTAAGGCAATAGAAATGAAATTATTATACATAATTATATATTAATTTTTTGTAATATTTTCATTTTCCTAAAATCTATTACTTTATATCTTTCAACCCAATGTTATTTATCGTATTATTCGTAACCAAAAATACACCAATGGATGTAGAAAAATCGAATTGTGTTCTTTTATATAATAATAAATTTGTTCTAATTTTTATTTCTTAAATTTTAAATGCATTTTAAATTATGTTGTAAATTCGAAAAATATAATATATATATACAATTACAATTAAACTAAACTTATTATATGTTACATTTGGCAAATTTAGGCCAAATGTAATATAAATATAAATTTTAGAAAATGTATGATTTCTGTAATGTTAACTGCTAATAATGTTCATTTATATTCAAAACTGACATTTATTGACTATAGAAAAGTGGTTCTTAACGTTTTAGTAGTCGCCATCTCCTAATTCCTTTGATATCATTGAACAGGTGCGGATATTTCGTTCGAATCTTTTGTCAATTCAAGTGTTATCGTGAGTTGGTGATATATTGGTATCTGAGTTATTATAAGGATCATGAATCCATAATTTTTAGGCAATTATTTGTTACATTTTTCAATTATTTTTTGAAGATGACATTGAATTAACTAATTTGTATGTTCTTTTTATCAAATTAATTATCTGTAATCATTTGGAAACATTTCGAAAACATTCCATTCTATTCTTCGTATCCTTTTACGAAGTTTCATTTTCATCTCATCTACTTTATATCGCATAGAAAAAATGTTGTGTTGTATCCTTGCATAGATATATTTATTTGTTGGTAAAATTTAGAAAAAAATGTCTTTATAAGTTATAAAAAATTATCTAATGTTAATTGCCTTGTTTTTTTAAATAATTCCTTTTACATAATATGAACTAATGTATACAATTACTTCAATTTACTTTGATAGTATTTGATAGTATTAATTTAATTACAATATTAATATAGTGAAGGTATTCTATCTAAGATTTTATAACGGTAAGCTGAGGTTTTTCAACTGGTTCTTCTTTACCCACTATAACATTGGTTCTTTCACTAATGTAACTAACGTATATTTTTCAATGTACGCTAACGACAGTATATTTATTGAATGTTCTTTTTTTTGTAAATATTGAGAGAACTCCCTTTGAATTGATGGAACAAATATAAAATCGATTCCGAACTATTAGAATTATTATTATACTAAAAAACAAAACAAAACATGAAATTAATTCATAAACTTTTGCACAATTAAAGTTCTTCAGTGTTAAGATTTGATTCTAACAAATAAATATAGGTATATTTTATGCATAAAAAAGAAAATTATGCATGTATTTTCTGAAGAACATTCTAACTTTTTGGAAGAATTTTATAAATTTAGTAAATATAAATTTATTTATTTGTTTCAAATATTTACCTTCATTGAATTATATACTTATAGATGTATAAAAAAATTGATAATGTGAAGAGATTAATAATTAATTAATATTACTGTTTATGAATGTCTTAATTATTAGTAATAATATTTATTGCAACAATACAAAAAAAAAACATGATTTTACATTTCCATACAATAATAATGAAACAAAAAGTCAACTGAAAATCACAGTTAATTTTCTTTATATGCTATATATATTTTTATATATATGCTTTAGCAACGAGAGAAAATTTGTGTGAATTGAAGTAAATAGTTTAGAGCAAATTTGCACTTTCCGGATTCACAAAATCATATAGCAACAAAAAAAATGGTTGTACCTGCACATTTGTATACTTGGATTCGTACAGTTGAGTCCGCAAATACTCATCATCCATTATTCTAATGGATGTAAGATTCGAACAGTTGTAACTACAGTGTCGTATTCAATGTAGAAGATGCAGAGGAACTGATTATTTGGTTCGCCAAAAGTGTCATTTCCTCAGCTTCCACAATCCCAATATTGACCTATGATTATCGCATTTACGTTCATTGCGGAGCGCAATTAAACAAATCGGCGTGCATCTAATTTCAAAGAATCTACAACGACGCTAAGCTACACGCATTGTATGTGTTTATTCTTGATAGTAAATATTTGAGAGCTATTATTTTCATACATAATTGTACACTGCTTCTTATTCGCAATGGATTAATACTATAGTATTATTAGCAAAAGTATATATGAAGAATATATTTGTTTTTTATATTTATCCATTCATTCAACTAGTATATATGACTAATTTAGTTATTAATGTATATGCATTACACATTAAAAATATGTTATTTGAAATGTATTTATTTATAATTATAGCATTTTGTGCATTGTTATTTATTAAAAATAACAACTATTATAATTCAGATCAAACAACCACAAATTCTCATTTATTTCAAAAAGTAAACAAAATATGTACAAGAATCATGAAGAAACTTATATATTTCCAAAACTTTTCGTAAATTAATATCGAGTTACAAAATAATTTCAAGATAATATGTAGCAAATTCAATGAAGGTAAATATTTTAAAAGAATAATTTGTCGAAAATAATTATTTTTATCATAGCAATAAAAAAAGAATAGACATATATATTAAACTGATAAAGTATTCACGAATTTAAGATTTTCTTTACAATTTAAGAAAAATGTATTTCAAATATAGTGGAACTTCGCTTAACAAGTTTAATCCGTTCCGAAATTTTCGGATTTTTACTCGTATAGTGAAATATATTCAAAAATACACATAATATGTTTTAAAAATGATGTAACAAATGCGCAATCCGGGACTTCTCTTCTCATCGTCATTCGTTATGCGAAACGTAGCTCGTTAAGCGAGTCATTTTTCTTACAATTCATTTTCCTCGTTAAACGAAATTCTCGTTATACGAGGTGTTCGTTAAGCGAAGTTCCACAGTATTTTATGTTAACTTTATAATTTAGTAGATATGCAACACAATTTACTTCTAGTCAAATAATTGCATATAATGAGATAAATTAGGTATAATATTTAAAACAATTCAAATTTATAAAACCGCACACGGTCATCCTTTCACTGTCACAGTTTTAAGATTATTGTACAATTCTAAGAAACTTCTAATAACCCACAATGAAGTCATTTATTAAAATGTATCTACGTATGTTTTAATCGTTAGAAACGTATATTAATTAGAATGAAATTCAAAGAAATTTTGAAAACATGTATTGAGTTTAATACTTAAACGTATGCAAAAATATAATTTATTCTACACAGTTAGTGAAAATTCGTGATACAAATATTAATACAACAATACCTCGCATAGTGCGAGTATAAAATTGGACTAATCGAGAAACTTATTAAATAAACTTAAGAAACAAACTACACAAAAGATACTTGATTGTATAAAGCAGTGATTCTCAATTTTTTTTATCCGCGACTTCCTTTTGGACATAAAAAGTTTCTGCGACCCCCCGAAGAATGGGTATGTGTAGAAAAACAACCAGAGTTGATCTGATTATTTTTTTGTGAACCCCCAGATATTTTACCCCATGGGGTTGCGACCAACATTTTGAGAATCACTGGTATAAAGGATTGGGTTTATATCGAAAGCCCGACACCGAAATCCCGACATTCAAAATTCCGACAACCATAATCCCGAATATATCAAAATCCAGACTGTATCAAAAATTTCTACAAAAACATTTTTAAATTATTTCGGAGCGTAGTCACCATGTGCTACATTTTTGTTATTAATAACAATAAATTATTATTTTTTTTTTATTTTGTTTAATTATTTATAATAAAACAAATCTCAAATACAATTAGATTATTAATTACTGTTATTTATTATTAATAACAATTTAAAAGTGTAGACATTGTTGATATAATCGGGATTTTGATACAGTCGGGATTATGGTTGTCGAGATTTCGATACTGTCGGGATTTCGATATAAACCCGATGGATTGCCACCTTAAAAGATCATTTCTGTTTAAAACCGGACTATAGTGAATCCGGACTGATCGAATCTGTACTATGCGTGGTATTGCTTTATTTTTGTATCATGTCCGAAATTGATTATTTGTATTATATCAGAAAGTTTTCATACTTTTCAAATAAAATGGGAGTCTTAATTGAACACCCTCTATAATTTAGTATTACTTTCTTAGAAGACATAAATGATTTAGATGAATGAACCAGAAACATAATTGAATTTCAAATAACATACGCAGACTATAATCGAGTCAATTGAATCGGAGCGTAGCTTAATGACAACGCGTGTTAATGGCAATGATAATGGTAATGGTAATAAAGTAATTGTGCGATCGGCGTCCTCAACTTCCGTTGCTGAAGTTCAAGTCTGAAAGCTGGTAGCTGATGCTGCTGGTGCAATGCGGTTCACACGAAATGCGCGTTCTGTCGGAAGTTACTAAACGGTCCTCTGAGATGATCCCGTTGGCCGCTGGACGGAAAACCAAATTAAATCCGTGTAACAACAATGGACGATCCTTAGAAAGTACAAATTGGCCGCAAGACAATAACACGCGGTATTTTCGGCCAGACACCGACGGCCAACTGAGAAAATAAAATTAAAA